CCCCCTGCTCCAGGAGCCCCAGTAACAGAACTGAGGAGTGAGGTTCTCTATTGGTTGCAGTTGTTTCTCAGTCTGTCTTGGGTCTTCCTCTTAGAAGGCATCTGAGTGTTCTTAGGAAAATTTTATAATTAATGAGTGCTTTTCGGGGCTATTTCCCTCAGGAAGGGAAGGAGTTTGCAGAGAGCAAGGGGTTGCTGTTCATGGAAACCTCGGCCAAACTGAACCACCAGGTGACCGAGGTCTTCAGTGCTGTCGGTGAGTGACTAGCCCACTCCCTGTCCCAGAGCCAGGCGTCGGGGGGGACCATCTCTGGATCTCTGGCATCCTGGGACCCACCAGGATGTCCCCAGGGACTGCAAAGTGAACAGGAGTCCAGGGCCTGTGTTTCATGGTCTGGGAAAATGTCAGGGAGGGTGGGGTCCCCAGGGGATGCCAGGGGGGCAGGGCGCTTGCTGAGCGGGGGCACTTTTCTCCCAGCCCAGCCCCCTCCTCCTGTCATTCACAGCCCGAGAGCTTTTGCAGAGAGAAGAGACGAAGCAAGGCCAGACGCTGCAGGGAGATGCTCGGCTGGCTCTGAATGAGAAGCCCTCGAGGCAGGCGGGGTGCTGTGCCCGCTGACGCAGCCGCTCCGGGGGTGGGGGCATGGGGAGGAAGCCCCCAGCCTGGGCCCCCCGGGCCTCAGGCCAAGCACCGCCAGCTCCATATTGATGGGGGTACTTATTCCGACTCACTGTCATCGCTGGCTTGTTCCTGAGTCCTGGAGGCTCCGGAAGCTGGCGTCCCTTAGAGTAACTCCTTCCCACAGCTGGTGGGACTCATTCAGGAGAGGGTCCAGGGTCACAAGGCTTCGGGGGTGTGGCCCCACCTCCCCAGACACCAGTCACTGACCGAATCCCAGGTGCACAGGCAGGTGCGTCTGATCCTGCTGGATGTGGCCCCTCAGCTGCCGGGCCATCAGACACTGAGGAATGATACGGTCAGAGCGGAGCCAGGGTCAGAAAAATACTTTGCTCACTGAGGCGGGTGGACGATCAGCCCGGGGGCTGGAGCCCACCTGCTCCTGGGAGGTGGGGGAGGAGGTGGGAGAGGAAGGAGCAGGCCCAGGGGGAGGTGGCAGTGCCAGGAAGAAGCAGAGTAATGATCACATTGTTACTGGTCTCTGTGACGTCCCCTGGGGAAGAGTGGTGCCAGATGGAGGGCAGCGGGGGGGGGGGGGGCGCCAGGCCCCTCCCGTCTCTGCTCCCCGCGGAGAATATAAAGTGATGCTAACGCCCCGTGGGTGTGAGGACTCGGACTTTCAGCCCCAGGTGTCAGCTGTACTTCTTAGGGGTTTTTCTCGAAAAAGTAAACTGCTTTCTACTCTGTGGTCCTTGGTGAGTTTGGAAGGTGGGGGTCTATTCTCACACATCCTCCGGGAGGGCTCGTGGGGAGTAAATAATGCGGAGGGGTTCAGGCAGCAGATTGTGACGAAGGTGGGCACAGGACATCTTTCTAGGGGTGACGCATCACCTGTTCACCTCCTCACTGCTGGCCTTTACAGAGAGGCCCTAATGGCCCTTCTGGGAGGTGAGCCCGTGGCCAGGTGAAGGTCGTTCAAAGGTGGCTGCTCTGGCCCTGCTGTGTCAGGCTGTGTCCCTGTGCTCTCTGAGCCCTCACTCCCAGTAGCGGGGCTGGGGACCGCCCCCCACCCCGCCCCAGCCCACGACCCCGCCCCTCCCAAAGGGCGGGACCCACTTTGGAGGCGGCAGGAGGCTGAGGTGGCCTCCGGCCGCCAGGCGGCGCTCCAGCACCGCTGAGGGCAAACTCCACGGCTCCTGCTCTCTGCGCCCTGAGAGCTGCTCTGCTGAACGATACTAGGCTTTCAGAAGAACTTCTGAAGCAGTGATGATGAAGTCGGAAATGCGGAAATAATTTTATGTGCAGGATGCCCAAGCATCTGATTGTTTTTCTCCCATCACTGGGCTAGAATGTATTGCTAAAACACGGTCTTGCACTCGCTGCTCTCTGGCACGTGGCACGTGGGGCGAGACGGCTGTGACCTGGAGCGTGGGCTCCCACCTCCGGATGAGGCTGCGCGGCCCCCTCTCCTGCTCACCAGGCAGCTGGGGCTCAGCCGCGCGCTGGAATCACCTGGGAGCCTCCGCAGGCAGCAGGCAGCGGCCGGGTGAAATCTGCTGAGCCCTCCTGGTGAGCCTAACGTTCAGATAAGGGGGAGCTCCGTGTGAGGACAGGGGTTCTGTCTGTCCTTCCTCCTGCGGGGTCCCTGTGGCTGGTACAATGTCTGGTCTGTGCCCGGCACTCAGCAAATATGTGACCTGTGAGAAGACAGAAGCCGTTTCCCCCGAGATTTAAAGAAAAGGCAGGTTTTCCCAGAAACAGCCTCCACCACACCAACAGACGTTTACAGACGTCTCCATGTCAGACACCTTCACCCACCTGATCGCAGCCTGTCCCGGACCCTGAGGTAGTGATGGGGGCGTGGGGCGTGGCGGGAGATGAGCCCGTGGGGTTGGCAGGCCTTCCTGGCAGGGAGTCTTCAGGATAAGTGGTCCTGGGGAGGCCGGTCTGCAAGCTCGGTGTCCTCCCCACAGCCAGGGATGCTGCTCCAGCCGTCATCACGACCTGGGCGTGCGCGTGTGTGTGCGCACGCGCGCGTGTGTGCTCGTGGTGGAGGCGGGAGGCACAGAGGAGGGGATACGCGGCACCTGGGAGCAGCCCTGCTGCCTGCCTGTGACCGTACCCTTCCCATCTCCCCCCGTTTCTGTTGCACGTGCCTTGACCAGCTCCCCTGGCAGAGCCCCGACTCAGGGACACCTTTTCTTTTTCAAATTTATTCTTTTTTGGGGTCTCAATCGTCAAATTTAGGACAATTTGAGCATCCAAAATGATTTGTGAGGTGTTGAACAAAAAGAAAAAAAAGGAAAAGAAAAAGAAAAAGAAATGCCTCCTTTAGAAAAATCCTGCTTATAAATGTGGAAGGAGTTCGAGAATCACCATTGTGCAACCCACGATGTAGCCATTGGTCCCAGCAAGCATATTCAGCAGCGCTTAAATCACTGGCTGTGAGCTCCTTGGGAAACAGGCTCCTGCCCTGGGGCCCCAGGACCCTGCAGACTGCAGTGTGCAGACGGGGAAACCCAGAGGTTTTTTACAGTCGAGAGATCCTCTCCACCACAGGGTCAGACTCAGCACCCGGCAGGATGGGGCCTGGGGCCACGGTCAGATACGATGCGAAAGGACAGACACGGAGCACGCGTGCCCTCAGTGGTAACCGAACCCAGTCCTGCCCTCACTCTCCCACTCCAAGCACAGGAAACGCGGGCACAGGAGGACCCGGGGACAGCGCCCGGGGGGACAGACAAGTTAGGAGAGGATCGCTCTGCAAGGTAACACCTCAGGCTCTTGTAAAAGTCAGCGTCATGACAAAGTGAGACGACCAGGGTATAAAGAGAAACAACTGGCTGCAACCCTGAATTCCGACGGGAGCCTGGTTTCCAGAAAACAAGACAAAACGGAAAGGACAACACAGATCTTCTGACCGTATTTGGGGATTTTTGAATGTGGACTAAGCATGAGCTGATACGAAATTATTACAAAATGTTTTTGGCATGATAGTAACTTTGTGGCTATGTAGGAGATTGCCTTTATTTTGAGGAGAAACGTGCTGAAATATCTACAACTTACTTCCCAATGGCGGGGGCGGGGAGGGAAGGTGAATACAGGGGTAAGTGTGGAACCCGAGGCGGGCGTGAGAATGTCGTTATAATACTTTATGGGGTTTCTTGCGTGTTTGAGAACGTTCATCGTAAGAAGCAGGAAGCCTAGAATCTGCCTCGTCTCTGTCTCTCGGGGCTCAGATGTACCTGTTTCCTGGGGCTTTCCTGTCAGGGCACCGACCACACGCCGGGTGGTGGGCCACACCGATGTTTCCACGTCTGCGCCCCACGCGGGGCTGTGAACTCTCTTGTTTAAAGTGGACGATTGGAGGGCCCTCAGCACAGCCACCTCCTCGGTCCAGTTCCCAGACCCGTTCATCCCCCAGAGGAAGCCCTGTACCCACAAAGCAGTCCCTCTCCCGTCTCCCAGCCCCTGGCAACCCCCAGCCTACTTTCGGTGTCTGCAGACCTGCCCATTCTGGACCTTTCATATGAATGGAACCACACACTAGGGGACCTTCTGTGTCCGGCTTCTTTCACTTTGCATCATGTTTTTAAGGTTCGTCCACGTGGTAACTTTGAAAGAACTTCATTCCTTTTCATGGCTGAACAGCAACCCGCTGCACGGATGGACCACGGTTTATGTGTCCACTTGTCTGCCGATGGGTATCTGGGTTGTGTCTACCTCCTTGGCTGTTGTGAACTGTGCTGCTGTGAGCATTCTTGTACAAGTATTTGTTTGCACACCTGTTCGCAGTTCTCTGGGGTGTGTGCTTAGGAGTGGCTGGGGCCACGTGGTAACTCGATGTTTAATTTTCTGTTAAAAAATGGAGGTACTGGAGACTGAGCCCAGGACCTCATGCATGCTAGGCATATGCTCTACCACTGAGCTGCACCCTCCCCTCCGCCCAATGTGTAATTTTTTTTTGATGTTTAACTTTTTGAGGGGCCTCCAAACTGCTTTCCTGGGCTCACCACTCTTCCAGGCCTGGCCCAGCTCCTGCCCGCCCCGGGGAGCCGGCCTGGCCCCTCTCCTGTCCCCACGTGCGCACTGCCCCCTGGGGAGGTGCCGATGCAGCAGGCGGTCTCCCCAGGGAGGAGACTGGCCTCCACCCTCCCTCTGGCCTCCCTGTGGCTGGGGGATGGGCAGCCTGGGAGCATCTCCGTCTGCGTGGTCTGGGCCAGCTCTGCCTCCTCCGGCTGGCCAGCCAGCGAGGACCCATCTGCCTCGATGTGGAGCAGGGACAGCTGGGGCCCGGGGTGCTGCGGGCTTGCTCTATGTCCTGAGCCGTCCTGAGCTTGGATGGGCAGAAGGAGTCCCGTGGTCAGGGCGGGCTCCTGAGACCCTGCAGGCAGGGTGCCGGCAGAGACCTGGAGGGCCCTGAGCTCCGGTTAAACCTGCTCACCCCCCAACTCCTGCTCCTACTGTCCCAGCACAGAACTGCGGGTGGGCCTTGGGGAGAGCGATTTACGGTCATGGAGCATCTGTCCCGGTTGGTCCGCGTGCAGGTGCTGCATCACCCTGAGCTCGGGAATGAGGTGGGTGTTACCACCGCTGGGTTCACATGTGGGACCTGAGGCTCGAAGAAGTTAGGGGCTGGCTCAGTCGCCCAGTTAGAGACAGTGTGTTCCCTGACACCACGGCGAGTTCCATCTGAGACAGGACACGGAGGCAGACTGATGGCAAAGGGATGCGATGTGGGATGAAGTCCTCTAGCTGCCAGTCTCCCTCCTGTTGAGTGGAAACCAGCAGACCCCGGAGTCCCAACAGGGAGGTGGGAAGGACTAGGCAGAGGGAGGCAGGTTGGGCTGAGAGGCTGTGCTGCCCTCCCCTGGGGCCTCCTGCACGGTGACCTTGTGCAGTGTGCAGCCTGGGCGGCCATTCAGGTCGGCTGGAGGGTACAAGATGCAGGTGACCAAGGACATCCCAGGCCCCTTACTCCGTGCTGGGTACCCTTGGGCAAGTCACGGAGCTTCCAGCTTCTGGGCCCTGAACGTCTTCTAGGCTAACTTCCCCCCTGGTCAGCACGCAGACGCATGTGAACAAGGCCAGCAGCTTTTATTAGGGTTGAAGGGACAGTAGCCCTTGGAGGAGGGTCAGGGGGGCTGCGGGACAGACCCCGGAGTTACTCCCGGATGAGCTGGGCGGTCAGTCACCCTGGGCGGGCTCAGCACCTCCCTCCAGGGGGAAGCAGGCTGGCAGGTGCCAGAAGCCAGGCTTCGGGACATCCCTCAGGGCTGCTCTCCTCCGGCCGAAGCGGCCCACGGGCCGGATTCTGCGGCCCGTGTACCAGGCCGGGTTGATGTCAGGGGCTGCAAAGAGCGAGGGCAGTATGTGATCGCACGGGCCCCGGTGTGTGCTCCTGTGGGTGATGGGGCCCGGTGCACGTGCCCAGCGTCCCTGTTCCCTGCACAGGCTCTCAGCTCACTGCTGCCCTGTCGCTCAGGTCATTCTGGGGCCCAACCGCCCAGGAGGGGTGCTCAGAGGGCCTGGCCAGGCCATTTCTGGATGCTGGGGTGACATAGGGAAATGAGAATTCATACTCTCCCTTCCTTTCCAGCCCCCCACCCCCATTCTCATGGGTAAAGTGGGCTCAGCCCCAGGCTGCCCAGGTGGTGAGAAGTGAACCCCCCACCTCCACGGTGTGCGGGCCAGCGCACTTGGGAGCAGATGTTGGGGCCACTTTGGGGAGAGCTCTGGCCATCAGAGGGCCAAGCCCCCAGCTCTGGGGGACTTAGCGAGGATGGTGCCCCCGCTCAGGAGGTGGCCAGAACCTGCCCATGGCCTAGGGGTGGAGGGGTGGGCGCAGGCGAGGGAGGCTGAGGATCTGAGCACTCACTGCGGATCTCCATGGAGTGCTGGTGGGCGCGGCTGGCCGCCCCCCGCAGGGCCAGGCCCAGCAGCAGCAGGCACAGCAGCCAGGCCCGCAGCGCCTTCATCCCCTAGCTTCTCACCGAGGTCTGCTGGAGGTGGGATCCCGCGGGGGCAGGCGCATCCTGGGGCGGGAGCAGCGGTAAGCTTGCATGAGGATGCGTGTGCACAAAGCTGAGCGCCTCAGATGATGTGAGCGAGCGTGTGTGGCAGAGTGGACGTGAGTGTGCGTGAGTGTGTGCACCACTGGGGAGTGCACGTGTGAACAGGGGTGTGTGTGTGTGTGCACCTGTGTCCACGTAAGTGCGTGCATGTGTATGCACACGGCCGTGCTCCGCTGTGGGTTTCTCCGCTCTGGGTTGGGTGGGAGTGAGCATACAAGTGGCAGGCAAACCTGGCCCTCGGCGAACCCCCCTCTCCCCGGGACCCCGTCCCCACCTCGGTACAGCGAGCCTTAAACAAGGTGACCACGTGTGTGTCAGTCTCTGCCGGGCTCAATCACGTTTGCACAGACCCTCTGTCATCAGAAGGAACCCAGAGGTATGTGAGCTGTGGGTGGAGAGGTCTGGGCTGTCTTGGAGCTGCCTCCATCTGTCTGTCTGTCTGTGTTAGGGAACCAGGAGTGTGGGAGGCCTCTGCACTGCTGTGTGTGTTGCACACCCAGACCCCGTGGGGGAGGGGCGGTGGAGGCGAGCAGGTGTGGGGAGCTGCCTGGGGGAGCCCAGGGGTGTGCAGAGGTGGAGGGGTGCAGCCTCGCCTCGGACACGGCAGGGCGAGGGGGCTGGGGGTGCTGCGCCTGGACCACACTCAGGGGCTGGGACCCTGGGGCGGGCTCTTTCCCTCACTTGGCCCAGTTCCATTCTGCCCCATGCCCGCTGGAGAAGGGTCATCACCCCCGTCCTTACCAGGAGCACTCAGCCTCCCTGTGACCCCAGGACAGCCAGCAGGACAGCCCTAGGACAGGTGGTGGGAGAGAGCGCTGTGGGCTGCAGAGGCGCCCAGCAAATTCACTTCTCACCCTGCTGGCCAGAGGCCCTGACCTGCCTACAGATCCACGCGGGAGGTGCCCCCACCCCGTGGGGCTGGCGCCTCCTGTAGGGGCCCCACCCCGGGCACTTTAGGAAGCCTGTCTATTTCAGGGAGGATCTCTCTGCCGACCCTGGCTTTCCAGCCTGTCCCCAAGTCCCATGGAGAGTGCTCTCCATCTGAGAGATTGAAAATGGCCACCTCTCTCTCCTTTTTTCAGAGATGTGCTGGGGTGTCGCACACACAGTGGCAGGGCAACCCCAAGGAGGAGGAAACGGAGGCGTCACTACGAAAGCAGAAGAATAAAGAGGTGGGTCCAAATGGGCTGGGCTGTCTCCTCCTCCCTCTGGGCCGGACCCATGCGGGGTGGAGAGCCCTAAGCTGACCGCACCGGCCTCTGATCTCCCGAGGCCCTGACTCCTGGGAGCTGGAGGTTTGCTGTCACTGCTGGGATTCCTGGTCTGTGTCCCCAGCAGAGTCGCCTGGGACAGTTTCACCTTCTGTCTCCACGACGGACAGCCTCATGCACGGGGCCCGGGCAGACGGGGGTGGCCCTCAGATGCACAGATGGTGGGGTGGCTGCCCCTCTGTCTCCCTCCCAGGGCTGGTCCTGAATACTAGGGCCGACCCATTCCCAGACAGCGAGGGAAGGTTTACGGAGGAGGAGGGAGGAGTGTCTGCGACCCCCGCCCGCTCCAGCACCTGGGAGCTACTCACCGAGGTTCCCGCCAAGGCTGGCCAGCGCTGTGGTGCCGGAGCCGTGACCCAGGTGGGAGCGGCTCACCCTTTATAGTCCCGGGAGGAAGCAGCCGACCCGACGCCCACCCACCCCTCCCCGCCCGCCTCCCTCGCCAGGCTTCATCAGGAGAGATTCTTTTTCTTTCTTCCTTTCTTCTATTTTTTTTTTAATTCTCATCAGCGAAGTGATTTGTCCCTTCCTGGGTTATATAATTTCATTTGGGCTGAGTGGTTTTAAAACACATTAGCCTCCCTTCTTCACGCTTCGGGCAGGCTGCAGAGTCAGGCGCCCCGGTCCAGGCAGCGCGGGAGCCTCGTGACACACGGAGGTGACCCTGCGGCCACCTCTCCCCCTCCTTTAAGTCATGGTTTCTAATGGAAAGGTAAAGGGACAAGTCACCTGAGGCTGTCAGCACCGTGTGTATCCTCGTAAGCCCTCCCAGACCTGGCCAAGCACCTATGCGTATGTCGTTTTTCGTAGCTGCAATCATTACATGCAAACCACTTTCGACCGAGCACTTAAAAATATTTCTTTGGGCTTTTGCAGAGTCTTCATAGTGATGGTTTAAAATAAACAAGTTCATTATTAGGATTATAAAACAAATACATGTGTTTCTATTGTAAAATAAATAATAAACAGACTTATTTGTATTTGAAAAGCAATTCATATAATTTGAAAAGAATTGAGCACACGCAGAAAAACAGAAAAACAGAAGCACGAGGTATGTGAGAGCGGCCAGGCAGCTCTCCTGGCGCGTGTCCTTCTCGCGGGCTTTGCTCGTGTTTCCTGGGCAGGTTCGGGGGCGACGTGCGTTTTGAATCTCATTCTTTCCTTTTAACAGTCACGGCCTCAAGTTGTAGCTTCTGCCGTTTTAAATAACGGTGCACTATTCTACCATTCAACTTGGCCCTAAGAACTTAACTCATTCCTGTTCTGCGTAAGATTATATCGAGGGTCATTCAAGTGCCACTGAGCGTCACCTTCAGGAGCCCGTCCTGGGGAAGAGACCTCACAGGTGGCTCCCCTCGCACGTGCCCAGGGGACCACACGGCCCTTCACCTGCCTCCATCAGACTTCTGGGGAAAGTTCCAGCGCAGCCCGTTGCCCTCCGAGGGTCAGTCACATGTGGGTCTCCTCCCTCCCATGGCTGCCCATTCCCGGTGATGAAGGTTTTGCCGTCCGTGGGCTCCCTGGGAGATCTGGTGTTGGGGGTGGGGGGCGCTGGTGGAGGAGGTTGTGGAAGGAGCACGGGGTGGGGGCACAGAAAGGCCCCCGGCTCCCACCCGGGGCTGCAGCCTCAGGGCACTGGGACGGAGTCCGTCAGAATTCCCAGGGGGGCTCAGGGTTAGTGAGGGTGGTGATGGTGGAGGACCACTGCCGGGGCGGGGGTTCTGTCTTGGGAGGGGGTGTCCTTTCCCTGCAGATGTCTGTGCAGGCCGTTGTGAGACTGCAGGAGCTGGAGGCAGCTTCCTGGGCACTGGGTGGGAGCGTGTGTGTGTGTGTGTGTGTGTGTTTGAGTGTGTGTGGTGTGTGTGTGGTGTGTCAGTGAATGTGTGTGTGTGAGTGTGTGTGGAGTAGTGACCCCTCCCCTTTCAGCAGAGCACCTTGGTCACATGTGGCGTTGGTGCTGATAAATGAAACGGTCACACATTGAGGTCTGGGGGTCATTCTGGCTTCTAGAGTTCACCTGAATTTGATGCTGACTAGAACCTGTTTGTGGCCCATTAACAGACAGTGTCTGTCCGCTTTAATTATTAAGGAAAAGGGCGCACTGATCAGGAGTAAGGAATGTCCCTGTTAAAATCAAAGATGAAATGCCTCCCTTCCTGGGACACCAAATGCTGGGCCTCCTCTCATGACAAGACTCCCTCCCCAGGTGCCGAGGCCACACCGGCTGGCTGTGTTCGTGCTGATCTGTCCGTGCTTCTGAAACCCTGAAGGGATGTATCCCTGCCTTGTGCACTGCTCTTTGTTTGGACGAGACATAAAAGTGTGCTGAAAAGCCTGCTTCTCCAGGGCAGTTCCTCAGAGCTACCTGACAGGCTGTTTCCTGGGCTATAGTCCTCAGTCTGGCTCAGATAAAACAGTTTTGTTTCTGTTCTAGACTGTCCACTGATTATTTTCATCAGTGGTGCCTGTGCACGGGGTGCCCACCAGCGGGGGTGACACGGGCATGTGGCATCCCTGCAGCCTCTGCCCACTCAGCACGGAGCAGAGAGCTCGCCCTGCTGAGAGAAGGGGAGCGGTGTCCCCCTGCCCCCCGGGGCCTCTGGTGGTGCCCCACAGAGGACCCAAGAGTTGCTGAGGGCACTCGGAAGCTGGAGGCCGCGTGACGGCAGCAGGGGGGCAAACGCAAGTGAGGTGGGGCTCTTACTGCTCGTGACCCCCCGAGCCCCAGGATGGCAGGCCTGGCTGGGGCGTCTCGGGTGACCCTCTGCTTTGGTAGATGGAGCCCCCCGGAGTGGGTCTGCCTGGCGCCGGGAGCCCAGAGAGCCCCTCCGCTCCCTCCTGAACTGGGTCTTGGGCTCAGGGC